ATGTGATTAATCTAGTTGTTAAGGATGGTTTGGCATATATAGGTAAGTCTGTTGAAAAGATTAGGGCTGCTGTTAAGTATATTCGGCAGTCTTCTAAAAGAATAGCAAGCTTTAAAAAATGTGCTGAAATTGAGAAGTGTGGTAGTTCCAAGAATCTAGTATTAGATGTTTGTACTAGATGGAATTCCACATATATTATGTTGGAAATTGCTCAAAAGTATGAAAGAGCCTTTAGGAGATTCGAAAATGGTAATCAGCACTATAAAGATGCTTTAAAATATGATCCTGATGTGCCAAATTCGGGTCCTGGACTGCCTACTGCAGTGGATTGGGTAGAAGCTAGGAGGGTAGCTGGGATTCTTCATCATTTTTACGAGATAATCTTGAAGGTATCTTGTACCAAATCTGTCTCCTCACATTCTTTTTTCGTATATTACTTGTATTGATGTATTGCTGAGGAAAATCATAATGAAAGTGATGATCAGGATCAAAAAATAATGGCTGATATGATGAAGGCAAAGTTTGATAAATACTACAGGCAAGTGAAGAATATGAATCTGGTTCTTTTAATAGCATGTGTTTTTAATCCTAGAAATAAGTTGAGGTATTTGGATGTTGTACTTGTCGATGTTTATGGACAAGTAGATGGGAAGGGTAGATATGAAATTATTAAAAGCGCCATATATGAGCTGTTTGCGGATTATGTGAGAATCCATGCCCCTAAACCTAGTGTTAGTTCGCCTTCCTCCCAGTCTGATTCTAGTACTTCATCCTCGAAAAGGCCTTCCCTTGTTGATATCAAGCCTTCGCAAATGCTTAGAGACAGATTTAGGGTGTTGGCGCAGCAGAAAAATGAAGAAGCTGGTGGCGAATCCCAGTCTGATAAAAGATCAAAATTGGACAAGTATTTTAGGGAGGATGATGAACCAAGTGGTCCAACTTTCGATCTGGTGAAGTGGTGGTGTGTTAGCAGCCCTAGGTTTCCCATTCTTTCACTGATGGTTCGGGATATTTTTGTCATTCCTGTCTCAACTGTGGCTTCGGAATCTTGCTTTAGTACGAGTGGGAGGGTATTGGATCCATTCCGGAGTTCTTTGACTCCAAAGACTGTTCAGTGCTTAATTTGCACTCAAGATTGGCTTCAGGGAGAAGTTGAAGAAGAAAGTGTCGAAGAAAGCTGGAAAGAACTCCTATAGGTTGAAGAAGGTTACACTGTTGCAGTTTGTGTTTTCATTTGATTTTTTAACTATTTGTTTTCATTTGATTGAATATTGACTGTTTGTGTTTGTATCCTCTTTTCAGCTGCTGAGAAGGAAATGAATGCTAGTGAATCAGAGACTATGGATTTGTCGTGTTCAAACTGTGAAGACGCTTCATTGATACGTAAAAGTTAGATGGTTGTTGCCTGTTGCATGAGTTTAGGTATTTCTGAATTTCTCGTTGCTGAATGTTGATTCCTGTTGCTGAATGTTGCTATGTAAAATTCCAGATTGCTGAATGTTGATTGCCTGATGCCTGCTGCAAGCGTGCAAGCCTGTAATGCTGCCAATTGAAGTGTTGAAACGTTGAAGACTGAACAATTCTTTTTCTGTTATGTTGATGATTCTGTAAAACCATGAACAAAAGGTTGTATTGTTGTTGATGATTCTTTCAAAACCATGTACTGCAGCAACTGCTTCTTCCTGCTGCATTCTGTAAAAACAGTGTTGATGTGATGATCATTGGCATTAGGGTCAATTGGTCAATTGGCAGTGTTGAATGTTGATGTGATGACCATTGTATCTCTGACTGAAAATCTTGTAAAAAAAAATATGGCCTATTTGGCCTATTTCGGGTTAACCGATCCTCAAACTGGAAAACTGATTGCTTATTCGGCTCAGTTAAACTTTAGTTCGGTTTCGGTCGAGTTTGAAAGTGAAAAAACCCGATTAATCCGAACCGATTAATGGCCGAACCGACCGAATTAGCAATGTTTTAAAAAAAAAAATTACTCACGTGGTTTTAAGCTATGTACACTGCCTGAAGGGGGTATCCATCGAAACTTCAGTGGACCCAGATCCACTGAAGAATTTGCCGATTATCGATGCCGATGAGGAAGCATGAATGACGAGTTGACTTTTTCTATCATTATGTTGTGACTTTGTTCTGGTTTCTTTTCGCGAGGATGTATCGTTGTTTTTTTTTAACATGTGCAATTGATTTTGGTTTTACAAAAAAATTCACAGAAAAAATATGTATTACATTATATTTCCTACTTTAGTTCTTGATGGAAAAAACCTTGTTTTGAGGATGATTTGTGATGGTCATCCTGACTTTGAAAATAGTTTAATTGCATCCCATGATTTTTAGAATTGGACAAATTTATCCCACAATTGATGTTTAATTTTTCTTTTTATAATTTCAATTCTTTTATTTTCTTAATCTATTTTAATAAAAGTATCAAGATTTCTAAATTAAAAAAGACAACTTTGAAAAATTTTATTTAATTAAGGAAAAAGTTTAATTCGTCCCAAACCTATGTAACCCACAGTTTAGAATGAATTCAAACTTAAACGTTCATTCAGAGATATAAATCATAAAATCTCACAAAATTAATTTTATATAATAATTTTATAAACTCTATTAAACTTAAAAAAAATTCAGTCTCAACTCGGGGCAAGTACAAAATTCAAACAAAATTGATAAAATAATGAGATAATAGTTTTTCTAAGAAACTCTTATATAAATGTTGGTCCTCTCAAAATCATAAATTAGTAATTATCTAAAATACCAACAAAAAATTAAGAGAATTCTGAAAAGTAGGAGGCTCTTACGCTTTATTTTTCCTTCAAATTTATACCTTGAAAGATTTTACCTTTCATTTTCTCATTTGATTCAAAAGCTCTAAAGTCATCTCAAATTTGAGAAATTTGGGTATTCATTTCCTAAATCGATTTTTTAAATTTATTTATATAAATAAAATTTTAAATTATCGAGTAAATAATAATTATTGATTTAGAGATAAAATATTAAACCCTACAAATTAATAAAATTATGTGGACCCAAAAGTATCAACTTAATTTAGAGATTACTGTATGTCAAAACATTCGAAATAAAGGAAAGTAAAATGAAAGAAAATAATAAAAGGAAGGAACAACCTTAAATATTTTGACTAAGTATTCTAACCATCTAGATCAAGGAAAAGTACATCTAGATCAAGTTTTATTTCTGTATATTAGGATTAGATAGGTTCTAGTTTCGTGTAACCTAGATGGAGTTGTCAGGGGATTAATGATTAATATTTGTAAGACATATTCCTATGATCTCTAGATAGGAACGTGAACTGTCAGAGAATATTAGATTATCTTTGTAAGACAGTTCCTAAAATTAATTGCACAAGAATTGTCATGTGTTTTTTAGAAAACTTTGTAACATGATTCTTTCCGTTTGGGTAAGTCTTAAGCACAGGCTTGTGTAACTTTTATCTTTATATTAATAAAATCGGAGTCCTCTTGCCAGGTATCGCCCTAGATTTTCCTTAAAAAAAATTATTCTAACCATTTATATGCTTACAACATAGTGAAAATATTAGTAACTGTTGCAAATGGTGGATACTGCGTGTTATATTAAAAAAAAAAGGACATAAAATGTGTGAATTACCACAACATCAAGGAAAAATTAAGATTAACTAAACTTAGGAAAAATATATTAAAAAAATTCAATTCAGTAACCATTTAATTAAATTTTTTCCCAGAGAAATCAAATTAGTTTTTAATTAATTTAAGAAAAAAGTATATGAAAAGTGAAAAAAAAAACTATGAGAAAAATGAATGAATACGTGATTCAATGGATTTTTACCTATTATAGTGAGTCAGTTATATTATTCGCAAGTCGTTGAATGGACTCGTTCAATTTTAAGAACATGTAAATATAAAAAATTTTGGGATATGTATGAACCGATATTTCCTTCAAATTGTTAAATGTCCAATGGTTAAGGGTCTCATGATCGATTCCCGTTGGGAAGCAAAGATGGGGATTTAGGTAGGTTAAAGTGGATAGTGTGTAAGGTAAATTAGGGTTGAAAAAAAAGAAGAAGAAAAATCGATATTTTCTGTGTATGAATATGATGATTTACTTTGAATAAATTTCCATTGATGACACGACAAAATAATTTCATATTTAAATAGTTACTTTTGTAAATAAATAAATAAATAAGTACCTGTGCGAATAATATTTCATATTTAAATAATTTCATATTTAAATAGTTACTTTTGTAAATAAATAAATAAGTACCTGGTTCATAATCTAATATTCTATAATATAATTTCGCTCTAGTTTTCAAGTCGGCAGGTTCAGCAAATATATGTTTTCTGGTTAAAGTATTTCCTCAATGGTGTTTTCTAAGTGCATTTTGGCATGTTCTATAGTCCCCGGTATCTTCGTTTTCGCGTCCTATTTAACAATTCCACATAATCATCATCACCATTTTATTAATCTACTAATGGACAAAGAAACAACCTTGTAATTGTCATAATTACCTCTTTCCTTATCCTAACCATCCTAGGAAATAACAATCAGTATTATAAGGCTTCAACCCATCATAAGCTGATGACCTCTCTTCTATTGGGGAGGAAGGGGAAAGAACACACGCGCCCTCAAAACCATGGAATTTCTAGATGCGTGCAAAAGTCTTTTTGCAGCCAATTTATTGCATATTGCTGAATCCGATATGCTTAGAATTCCTTAATTTAAAGAAAGGTGAGATAACTTTCCTCTATGGAATTTTACAATTTTTTTCTTCTTTCTTTGTAATCGTTTTTTTCATTCATTAGTCTCAACCACGGTTCTGTATCACTTGTCATCAACAAGTTTCACATTGACTGTTTTTTGTTATTAAAAGGAGAGGACCGTGCTTCTCATAATATATCCAGTACTATCCCCGTCAGGTACTACAATGATTTAACAACGAAAAAGTAGATAAAGGTGAGTGAGTAGATCAGATCAAAAATAAAAAAAATTCAATGGGAAGCGAGAAGGTGTTGGTGATGTTGGATGTGTCAAAAGATGTGAATTGTGGTAAAATTGCAGAGAGCCTCACTGACTTACCTTTGTATCCTGGTGACCAGCTAATTCTCCTCGGAGTCCAACCAGAGGTTACCAATAAATCAAGTAAGTAAAACATTTAAATCAATCATGCAATAATACTTGGAGCAAGAGTTGAGACTATAAAACTATTTGGATTAAGAGGATGATAGATCTGGTGAAAAGATATAGCTAGTGAAATTGAGATGGTAGAATGATGGGTGCATATACCAATTGTTAGTATTATTTTATTTATTTTATTTTTTTTACTATTCTAATATCACTTCTGTCGATTGTGATTTTGTTATGTAACTGTTCGAAGAAATATAACAAATGTTGAGTTTAGAGTTTAAAAATGACTTCAGAATGCATACATACATTACAAGTTAATATGTGTAACAAAAATCAAACAGTAAGATCAAAACCAAAAAGTTATTTTAATTTTAGAGATATTAAGGTTCTAAATAGGAGATAAAAATCGAATGCGGTACCAATGCCTAGAATAGAAGGTTCTTTAAGGGCATACCGGTACTCAATAGATTTTTACAAGTTTATCAATGGCGAGCCTAAAGCGGGGGGGTGGGTGGTGTGGTTGGAAGAAGAAAGAAATGCATATGATAACTTTGATTACAACGTAGCTTGTGTTTAACCTATTCTCGTAAATTGAAAGAGGCCAAAATTTTAAAATATTAAATTATGATAATCGTTGAGATAAAAAATCTACGCAAAATCGCGTTTCAGTAATTAACGTGAGTCGTGATTCATCCCGTTTTGTTTTAATCATAATTTACACCTTTTGATTTTATTTTATTTGTGTTCCAGCCGGGCACAAGAATAACGTACTGAAAACTTCTGGTCCACAAAAATCGATATCTTTTAGGGAAGATTTTTCAAGGAAGGAAGAACAGCTTTACCAAATTGCGGAAATTCTGAAGCAGTCAACACTCGGGAAGGTTTTTCAGCTCTACCTTAATTGTTATTTCTTCCATCTTGAAATAAATATTTTATTTATGCTTCCTTCAGTCCATATTATAAACTATTTTGATTTGTGGTAAATTTTATTTGTGATGTTTTTAACATGTTATTTTCAATTAGAAAAATAAAAAAAATTAAAATGTCTTATAATAAGTACCGGAGATATAATATTTTGGACTATAAACAAGATAATTATTATGAGATCACACAAGTACTTAATATGCATCCCATTATCATTATAAAATAATTTAGAAATGATAATAGAAGGCTCACTCTAAGTAATTTGTGTTCTATTCTCTCGTAAAGGATCTTCAGATATGGTTGGATTTTTTTTATTTCAAAGAAAAAAGAATTATTCAGTTTTGTTATAAAACCTCTTAGTTGATTAGTCAAAATATAAAACTATATCAAATGAAATTCTGAATTGTATTCTGGAGGGAGCTGTTTGGTAATGCAGTAGTGATGGAAATTGGAGCGCGGAAAAGCAAAAGATTTCTTTCTTTAACCTTTTCTCTAATTTTTTTCCCCCCTTCGCTCAATGTAGTCAGTGTGTTCTCTAATTTGAGTAAAAGAAAATGAATCATGGTAATCATAATGACTAACCTCTTTTGCTGCCATACAATTTCTTTTAAAAACAAACAAAAAGATTTGGTAGTGCATTATCTGTGTCAAACGGTTTTGGTACTTGTTTCATTCCAAATTAAGAGTTTTGTTTAGTAAATTAGATAAAAAATGACTTATTTCGAGTTAGAAAGAGAGAATAAGTAGTACCCATTCTCATTTTAGCAGTATTATACATATGTACCTCTCAACATTTATTATTACTTTTTATTTTTTTCCTAACATTAAACTATTGGAAGAGAGCCTCAGATCAAGGTGGATGTAGAGTTACGAGTTGGATCTTCACGTAAGGCGGTGGTAGTTGAAGCTGCGGTAAACTTAGGGGCCACTTGGATTATACTTGACAGGTTAGTTTTATTCAAAGTCAAGCATACATATAGATTTGTAGAATTTGTAATAAAAATGTTTTCCTCATTTCATTAAGCCAAAAAAAAAAAGTCCACTTCATTCGACTAAGTCTAATTGCTTCATTACCATTCTTTAATTGACGAGAATTAATTCTTAGATGAAGAGATTATATATATAGACAAGCACAACATGGATGGTGACTATTATTTACTCTTCCTAGCTCCATCCCGAAATATTAACTCTGAATATTAGCTCCATCCCGAAATATTACCTTTCTTAAGTACTCCCTCTGTCCCAAAATTATTGTCCAGTTTGAAATTTTACTTTTAGTTCAATTTGAACTAGAAATGAAAACTCAAACTGGACAATAATTATGGGACGGAGGAAGTACTATATTTGGATTTTTATTAAAAAAAAAATTGTTGTATTTAGTTTTCGACCATGGTTAATGGGCTTGAATTCGAGAAAATTAGGCTAAACCTTTTATGTTGAACAAAGAGAGTCAAGAACATTGTAAACAAATCCGTTTGCCTTGTCTCAGTGTATTGCAAAAAGTAGCTCATAACATAAATTATACTAAGAAATAACACAATATATAGGGGAAGATTAGACGCAATCTGAGCGGTACCACCTCCCCCTACCCTACTACCTATAGGCGGCCGTCCGAAGCAGTCGAAATGCTTTGTGGATGCACATGAGGATTTGAAGAAATGGCAGATTCATTCATTCTATCAATAACCGAGTCGGATCTAGTCTATCATTAGGAATTTGTCTTTTCTATTGATTTCCATGGATTGGATCAAAAAACATTCTTGAATGTCGTTAAATGACCACGTTAGCCACCTCCTGGCCGTAAGGTGTTAAGGAAGAATCACCTCTATGTAAAGAAAGAGAAAAGCTTCTACTAAAGCAAGACTCCCAGGGTCGGTTAGTAAGGAGGGCAGAATCATCTTAAGGGCATACCGGTTGAAATAGATTCTTCTTTTTTATCAATCAAAACCCCTTCATAAACTATACAAGCATTTTGCAAAGCATACAGCTTTCTGGATGTAGATGATATCTATACAGATGGATCTTATATCGTACAATGAGGTATCCCATGGGCGGATATATGACTCCAAATCTGCCGAATGGCTCATGTTATGATCTTCTACATCCTAGGTCTTCTTGTTTCGTCATCTAGCTTATGTTCTTCATGTAGCATTCAAACCGAATGACGTTCGGCCTCAATAGGAAAAATGGAGTACCTAATAACGCATCTTCACAAACCAAGAACTACGAGATCACCCCTTTCATTCTGGGGTGACGGAGGGATTGTATCATTCGAGCCATTTTTTTCATCCCGAAGGTCTGGAGAAAGCTGCAATCAATAGGATTTACCTAATCCTTGGGCTATTTAAGAGTTATTTAATTTGAGTTATAAGTCCGAATTATCTCTTTTTTTCATTTTCAAGAACGAAGATAAAAAAAAAAAGATTAAAATCATAGTTTAATTTATTTAATGATGGATCCTTTTTCATTTATTTTGTCATTTATTAGATTATATACATAGATAAAAAGAAAATTTCGATCAAATTCTTTTCTTTTTCTCCGGGGAGGTAAAAAGGGGGATCTTATCAACTTGTTTTGTTCCGACCTAGGATAATAAGCCCATGGGCTTGGTCTTACTTCACCGTCGAGAAAGGAAAGAAGACTTTCATCTCCAAGTTTAACTTAGGCATATCTCCCTTCTTTTTGGTGTGAAGCAGTGTCAAACCAAAATACCCAACAAGCATTAACTCTCCCTGAAAAGGAGGTGATCCAGCCGCACCTTCCACTACGGCTACCTTGTTACGACTTCACTCCAGTCACTAGCCCTGCCTTTGGCATCCCTTCCTTGCGGTTAAAGGAATGACTTCGGGCATGGCCAACTCCCATAATGTGATGGGCGGTGTGTACAAGGCCCAGGAACGGATTCACCGTCGTATGGCTGACTGGCGATTACTAGCGATTCCGGCTTCATGCAGGAGAATTGCATCCTGCAATCCGAACTGAGGACGGGTTTTTGGGTTTAGCTCACCCTCGCGAGATCGCGACCCTTTGTCTCGTCCCTTGTAGCACGTGTGTCGCCCAGGACATAAGGGGCATGATGACTTTACGTCATGCTCACCTTCCTTCGGCTTATCACCGGCAGTCTGTTCAGGGTTCTAAACTCAACGATGACAACTAAACAAGAGGGTTGCGCTCATTGCGGGACTTAACCCAACACCTTACGGCACAAGCTGACGACAGCCACGCACCACCTATGTCCGTGTTCCCGAAGGCACCCCTCTCTTTCAAGAGGATTCGCAGCATGATCCAGCTTCCATTTCAGCTCCATAGGCCCTGACCTGGGTAGTTCCAGCCGAACCGGCCCATAGACTGTCCTTATGCCGACAAGACAGAAAGCCTGTAAGAGTAGTGAATAAAGATAGATAATTTTCTTGGTTGTTGGACCAGGGGCGGACGTACATACACCCGAAGTGGGGTAATTGCCCCAATTGAAATTTTTTTTTTTCTAGTTAAACCCCGAAATTTTAGATTTTTTTTACAAAATATTAGTTTTTGCCCCACCTAAATTTAAGATGATAAGGGGCAAGTGTATTAATTTACAAGTGTTGAAAATTTTACCCCATCATATCTTAGGGGCTTGGCTCCGCCCCTGTGTTGGACCCTCTGTCATCTATTGCATCAGAGCCCTTTCATGAGGGGGACTAAGCACAGTTCTTTGAATTAAAGGTTAATATAGATTTTTTTATGAGACGGAATGATAACTAAAATATCATATACAAAGTGCAAAACCTTCATTGAGCATTATTTATTTTAATGTGTGAGACTTGCTAGCAGGGACGGACCTAGCTTATGACCCGTAAGGTCCGTCGACCCCGCGACTTTTCGGAAAAACCCTTAGTAGGTATCTCCGGTTCGGTTCCGGCGGTTCCGTCCTTTGAGCGCGGCCCTGCAGCATTGAGGAAAAAAAAAAAAGTCTCATGTGGAAGAAGAAGACTCCAGTCTTTTGGGCTGGGTTTTCTCTTTAAATTTGTAAAGCCCACACATCATTTTGGTTATTAAAAAAAGTAGATTGAAAAAAATTGGGCCTAGACTCAACCTTAACCCCTAAACCAATATCATTTAAAAAAGAAAAAGCCCATTTATTTTAAAATCTCATTTTTTCCTTTTTTTGATTTTTTTTATATATATTTTCACTTTAAAAAATTTGGTCACTCCTCCTTCCCGAATAGCCCTTCAATGTTGGAAGGCTGGGTCCGTCACTGCTTGCTAGGGTTTTAGTTGATGTACTTTACCATCTTTTCCTATGATTAAAATTTTATTCATTATATCCATTTGTTTTCTCGCAGGTCGATGAAAAAAGATAAGAAGTATTTCATGAAAAACTTGTGGTGTAAGATATCAAAATTTAAACGAAATAACACAATTGACCTCCTCCGAGGACCATTAGGAAGAACAGACAAGAGCACAGAAAAGCCATCCAGCAAAAGCCTTAACAGTAATGGTCAAGTATCATACGGGGAAATGATCCCTGAATATTCTTGGGAAGAACTTTATCAATCTCCCACAAGTAAGTAATTTCATACCCCTAGCAAATCGATGATAATTCTCCACCTGCAAAAATACGCCAACCTTTTTGATAAAGTAGTTGTATTAAATATATATGTAAAGTACTGTTCAAAAAACAACGTGTCGGAAATATTATTAAAAAGAAGACATTTTATAAATGATGAACAATGAATCTTGCTACTTATTTACAATAATTTTTTGGTTCTAGTAGATTCATAAATGTGTTTAAGAGAAAAGAAAAAATCCATATTGATGAGAATTAAACCCCCAGTCTATCAGACAGAACCGTCTATCATAATGCATATAAAATTTGAAAAAAAAAAAACCTTTATGAATTTAAATTTAGCTTCCTTTAGATTGCAATGAGAAATGCAGAATTAATTAACTACAAAATATGAATAAAATTGTACCTCTTTCCTAAAATATTGTTCAATTTAAATTTTTATGTTTTATCAAATTTGTATTAAACGAATAAAATTGTAAAATGCATCATTTCAGGACAAATGAAGTATCATTTTTTTTCTGGGAAAACTTTGAATACTGATCCTCTTGAAAATTATGTACACAGCATTAGAAGTAATAAGTCATAATTCATCACACCAAGCCACCAACATTGTTAACACAATATTGGCAGCTCAACGTGAAGTTGAAGAAGTGACTGATCGGAAAATAGAAAGATCATCTTTTGACGACGACGATTCGCCACGAAAAGCCACATACATTTGCTCGGTTTGCGAGAACAGCCGGCCGAGAATCAGTTGTCACAGGGACTTCAAATACGGAGAGCTTTATGAAGCCACAAAGGGGTTCTCGGACGAGAATTTCTTAGGGGAAGGTGGATTTGGTTCGGTTTATAAAGGGGAGCTGAAAAATGGGTTGAGAATTGCGGTGAAGCAGCATAAAGATGCAAGCCTTCAAGGCGAGAAAGAATTCAAGTCGGAAGTTGAAGTACTTAGTAAAGCCAGGCATGAGAACTTGGTGATGCTGTTGGGATCTTGTTCACATGGCACCCATAGGTTGCTTGTTTATGAATATGTTTGCAATGGTTCCCTCGATGACCATCTATCAAGTAAGTGAATTTCTCCTTCCGTCCAACAAAAACAATCTAACGTAATAATTATATTAAAAAAATATTATAATATTTAATGTATAATGTAGATTATCTTTTAAGAGCAGAAGCAGCATTATTTGTATTATAGAATGATTATCTACTAGATCATACATTCGAGGACTTCACATTTTAACTTATTAGATCATGATCATACATCTAAATTGCATCTCTCTGGTCTACTTTACAATTTGTGAAGTGTAATAATTTTTAATACAATTTACAAGGGGTACATTGTGGATTATTTTTATATAACGGACGATAAATCTAGATCTTTTTATTGTATCATTAATGCAGTACATTTATTTACATGTAGTTATACAATCCTTTGCTATCTCACATTTTCTACCAATCCTCCCATCCCTACCTAGCTAGTAATTAACTTTATTTGTTTTCGAAAAAATTTACAGAAAATGGGAACATATATTTTACATGGGAGCACAGGATGAAGATAGCTTTGGGAACCGCCAAAGGATTACAATATCTTCACAGCCATAACATCATTCACAGGGATATGAGACCTAATAACATACTCATCACGCATGATTATGAATCTCTGGTAAGTTTTTTTTTTTTTTTTTAATCACGCAATGACGGAGTCAGAAAACAAATGCGTCGTAAAATAACTTGCAAGTTATTTATATGTTATATCTCAAAATTTCAGCATTTATTATCCTATCCAGTCGATATTCACATTGCTCGTTCATCACCAATCACAAATTAACTTTGGTATTTAAATCCTTGTTGTTAAACGTAATTTGAACTAATTAACTAATTAATTGATTGATAAATGTGTTTATATAGTTGGGAGACTTTGGACTAGCAAAAACACAACACGACAACAACTCCGGCAACAGTGTGGTCGGAACTTTGGGATACATGGCACCTGAATATGCACAAACCGGCAAATTCTCAACTAAAACGGATGTATATTCATTTGGGGTGGTTCTACTACAGCTTATCACTGGCCGGAGAACCACGGATCCGATACCCGGAGGGAAGAGTCTCATCAGATGGGTAACCAAATTAACATATACTTCCTCGGGTCTTAATTATAAGACACAGATTAAAATTTAAATTTAATAATTCGTGCTATCTCTCTCTCTTTCTCTTTTTTTTTTTTTAAAAAAAATACCTAATATCTAACATACCGATTTCATGAAATATTGAATTTGTAGGCAAAACCACTATTAAAGGAGAGGAATTATCCGGATCTGATTGACAGAAAAATAATTGACTCCCATGACGTCCTCCAGCTATTTTGGATGGTCCGATTAACAGAAAATTGCATTAGCAACGATCCCTGCCATAGGTTTACCATGGATAAGGTGAGCTACAAAACCAAATATTCTCTTCTTATGTTTTTCATTTTCTTTCCTTCTTCCACTTTACCCTTTTTGTCTTGGTTGATTTTTTTATCTTTTTTTTTTGAAAAAAAAAAATAGAGAGAATAAATTTTCATTCATAGAATTTGATCGTGGAACGAAAACCCATCTTCAAATGTAAACACATGGTAAATATTTAAAAATTATTACCCAGAAAAAAGAGAGAGAGTGAAATCAACATTGTTGAGTTTTCAGTTTTGTCATCACATTTGTTCAAATTAATGATTAATTAGAAAATATTTCACATAAACTGTAGGTAGTCAACGCGTTGACCTCCATCAAGAACTGCAGCGCAACTTGGATAGAAGACATATCTCCGATATCGGATTTGACAATCAGCGTCAGTGGTTCCGGTGAGGCCGAAGAATATCAGAGTGCATAAAGTCACATAAACTGTGGAGAAAATTGAAGATGGGATGAAGTGGAGGGAAAAGATAAATTCGTCTCCTAAAATTGAATAGCTAGCTCTATCGGACACTGCAATTTGTGGGGTGCAGGAAGCCGTACGTGATGACGAAATTAATAAGTCGATTTGTTAAATTTTTTAGTTCAACAAAATGAATTTTTAAAAAATTGATATGTGTTATGAAATATTTGATTTGATTTAAGATGTATTATTCTATTCACAATCAAGGAAATATGATTTTGTAATATTTAGCATTAATGATAGGTGATTTCATAGCATTTCGTAGATGAATCAAATTTCGTTAATGCAACCATCAAACAAGAAAGTACAAAGATAATTTGTCTATCCCGTGAAACTCAAAAGAGTGCGAAAAATTCACAGTGAGACTATTGTTTATCTAAGGAATTCTATCTCTTAACTCAAACCAAGCAAAGAACACATTATCTATGAAAGATTCGAATTAAACAATAACCCACACTAAGAATAGTAAGGACACCATTTAATATACTCGATCAGTCGTCGTTCAAGAGACTCAAGAAAGGTAGGAGCAAACAATGCTCAACTATTAAGGAATACTATTGATTAGTAATTTCCATAACCAACAAAAATATGCAACACATACACTATCTCAAAATGTTTATGCCTAAGCACAACTCATCCAACAAAAGTAGGACAAACCCCACAATGGATCTCATGAACAAACTTATCATGAAATTCGAACACCAAGCCAAAGGAAAGGCTCATCAATCGAACTACTAGAAGTAGTATGAAAATAAGAAGTTTAGTTTTAAAACAATTCCATCAAGAAGCATACTTGAAAAAGAACGGTTTCTCCAAGATCAAAAGATCCAACACAAGATGAAAACCCTCTTGGTTAAATCATACTTGACACGAAAAATGGACACACCATTTAACAAAAATTCCTCACAGGAAAAACTCTCATTAGAGAAGACTCAAAATGACCACATATGGGTGCTTTAACTTTCGATCATCCCCTCTATTTATAGGCTAGCAATTTCGACCAAAGCACCAAAAAGAAGACCAACTAGGACTCTCTAATCTTATCTCACGCAGAATTAGAAGTAGAAGAGTATTTGATCTCTTTGACTCTATCTAAAATATAGGAAACTTTATCTAAATGACTTATCCTCAAATAGGATAATACTTAGAAGGAATCTAAAACTCCTAATCAAAACAATCTAGTTTAATTCAGCCCACATGATTAATAGATAAATTCGAAAATTAACTCCTATACTAGATAATATTCTAAATCCGAAAATCAGCTCCAAATATTAAAGTAAATTATCTTGAATGCCCTTCCAAAAGTGGAATATTGGTCTTGCGCCCCTCAAGTTGTAGAATACTCCAATTTATTCCAAAACTTGTAGAATTCTCTTTATTGACTCCAAAGGATTGGAAAAACACTTGAAACAATTGAGATAGTTTGCAACCTATCTAATTATGTAGTAATGGACTCAATCTTGAACACTTTGATCAAATAGGTCATCCATTCAAGAACCTAAATAACTCTTCTCTCTACCTTGATCAATGATCTTCATGGAGCACCAAGAGTCAAACTCCCTTGAAACTCTTGAGCACTTATTTCCATGAGTGAATCATCTCCTTTGGTTTGAACCCCCAAAGTTAATAACATTCTCATCATCTTGATCATAGCTCTCTTGAATCAACTCCCTATCACATAGGTAGTCAAGATCCATCTTTTCTTCTTTGATTGGCCTGCAAAATAAACCTGGCATTCCAAAACTAGAGTGAAGGACTAGTTCATTCCCCTCACTAGGAGAATCACCATGGAAGGCTACATGATTCTCATCATGATTCATTTTTCACAGTTTAATCTCCTACTTCTTGTATAAATAAGGAATTCATTTATGCTTCAAAATACATCTGAATACAAGTCTCTTATCTCTCTCCACTCTCTTATCTCTCATCTTTGTTCTTATTCTTAGTTTCATATTAATAGTCTAGCATTAATTTTATAACACGTTATCTGCACGAAAACTCTAGCAAAAGAGCTTCTACCACCGCCTGAAGTTGGTGTGTATTGATTTTAAAGGCCTGAAACATCAATGAATATTTTAATTCTACCACCGCCTGAAGTTGGTGTGTATTGATTCTAAAGGTCTGAAGCCTCAATGAATATTTTAAAAGGTTTTCGGGATATAAAGCGACGTGTCCTCAAAAACTTTCCGGTGCACAAGTCTCTAGCCACACTGAGACGGTTCATCATGGAGTTCAATTTAATGACTCAAAATGATGATGATGGGAGAAAAAGGTAAATCATAAATCATGCATATTTGGTTTGCATATGAAGAAAAAATATTTCTTTTTATAAATTCTATTTACTCATATCATACAATCACGATGCAACTCTTAAGCTATGTGTATAACTGTTGATAATGTGAATGTATAAAACTTACATAAGTTGCATGTAATTGTGATAGCAATCATGTGTGAAAAAAAATTTTTTCTTTAAAGAATTAATTTCTTTGATATTTAGATTGCGAGGAAAGTACTTTGTTTTATTATCAGGCGTTTATCCCCTTTTTCATATTTTCTTTGTACTTTTATATTTTACTTTGCTCATAGTAATGCTCATATTTAGTAATGAAAGTAAATATATTGCCAGTAGAAATATGTAAATGCATTAAAGTTGCTCCTAAGGTAGCGATATTGTGATAACATATTTAGCATATTAAAATGCTCCAGTAGTAGCATTATTGTGAAATATTTGATGAAATCTTATGAATTGATTTCGTTCCATTCTCCAAAGTGAGTGGGCAATAAATTATTTCTAGGAAAATTGCAGACATTAATCTACAATAATTATGTATATATACCATTCTTCAAATGAATTTGGAGACTTAATTTGAAGACATGTTCAATTCATACATGGTCAATTTCCTGAAGTAAATGTGACGATCATGAAACAATGATAGTGGTGATTCTAACAAATACATTATTAACCACTTGAAGTTGGAAAATAGTGAAAACATTACTATTGATCGGAAGTTAAAAGTAGTATATTGCAAATGCTATCGTTGTGGCATAGAAAACCATTGTTTCACATGTTCTGGATACTCACAATTATCTTATTGATATCTTTGATATATTATTGACAATCGAATTCATTACTCCGGTAGACAATGAATTAACAAATCATAATTTGATCTTTGTCAAACGCCCTGAAGGTGGTTTAAAATTTAGAGATGAAAATGTCTAATATATCAAACACCCTGAAGGTGTTGTGGTCTTTTGGCCACTACAATAATGATACTATGTAATTGACATTTCATGCATGTTTCGAAGAAAATAAGATCTAAATTTGTTAATGGCAAAAGTATGCCTTGCACATAGTGTAACTCATATTACCTCTGCGGGTATTGTGAATTTTATTAATCGCCCTGAAGGGGATGTTAGTCAATAATAAACACGAAATCAATTAAAAGCTCCAGTAGTGCATATGCCATTGAATTATTCAGCAAAGATAAAAGTTGAACATTGAGTGCCTATAAGAGCAATAATGAAGCGGTCTAGTAGAATCATTTATTGCATGAGTGCAATTAAAATAATTACTACATGAGGAATTGTTGAAACACAAAAGGCACCAATTATATGCATAAGACCAAACAGGTCATTGCAGATATTCTCCCCAACAGTGGTTTTCGGTCAAAAACTATACATATCTATCTTCAAAGATTACATGTGCAATCTATATTATAATTATTCCACCTCAATGCACACAATGATGGAACCTCCAGAAGAGGTCATAAATGTATATTGAATATTGAATCTCTAATGTTTGAGATTATTGATGTTGGATTAACTACTCGATGAACTGATCGTATTAGTTTGACGAGTTAGTTACTCCAAAAGGGAGATTTATTAACTACTCGATTGGTTAATCATCATTTTAGTGAGTTAGTTATTCTAACATCAAGGGGAGAAGTTAAAATAGCCTATTTATAAAATCATATGGACAATATAATTATCTCATTATGATCCTCGATGATATGAACCTGAAGTTCAAGAGATAACGCTTAAGACCAGATGTTTACCTGACTGAATGTATAAATATATCTTACATAAAAGGCTGTTAAAATTTAGAATTTGATATGTGTCCCTGAAGGACTACCTACTACTATTTTTTAGTTGAATGTCCATTTAATAAGTGGTAGAACCATCGATTCCAAATGATAAAAATTCTCGTAAATGACAAGGTTTAAATCTATAGAGAAGGCAAATACGAGTGATTATAATTGTTGAGATCTCATTATTAAGGAAAGATGGAGTCGATTAGCAATAAAATGTCGACATGAAATTTGCTTATACTGCAACAATTAGTAAAATAACCGACAATGAGGATCATGAAGTGAATGTCTGTTGTGGATGCAGAAATTAAACTTATTGGCCATAATAAATGAAAAGACACAATACACACTTGATGATGTGTACTTAGAACTGAAATTGCTTGCAAACTAGAAGTTTGACAAGTGATATACGGGCTAGATTTTGACGGGTGATTGTGCAAAAGATTATCGAGCAACCTCTTTGTTGCACAAGATTTTCCCAAAGTCCGGTTTATCTTGTGGTGGATGAAAAGGAAAATCTTCTGTTATTTGCTAATCTGGTAGCAAATGAAGATAAGAAATGTGTCTCTTGATTCTAGTGATCGCTTAGTACGTGATACTTAATAATGACGTCTATATGAAATCCCCGAAGGATTAAAAATAAAGGGACATGATCCCAATTCTCGATAAATTAATTCAAAAGATTTGCACAAGTTATAATGTCTTCATGTGTCTAGATATTTAGGTTCATATTTGTTAATATAATAGATATGCTATGTTTGTTTTATCTATATATGTTATGTTTGTTGGTAACATGATTTTTTATTTATTTTTATGATCATATTTGAATGATATGATGATAACTAATACTAGAGTGAGTATTCATAAGCCATATGTGCATCACAATTTGGTTAGTATCGAACTTTTGCAGAGTTTCAAAAGGCTGAATATTATCGAAACTTATCAGAAGTTCAAATAGTCTGAATATAAGTAAAACTCTTGA